GAGGACAACTGACCTGCTCAGAGGAGCGCTGCCCTTTCCGGGAGCCAGACAGTATCCTTCGAGCGCTGGATGTGGAGGGTGCCAAGCTCTACATGGACTTCCTGGTCTTGGGCATCTTCTTCCTGGCCCTGCGGCTGCTGGCATACCTTGTGCTCCGGTACCGGGTCAAATCAGAGAGATAGAGCTTCGCCCTGGCCTGTGCCCCGGCCCCCGCAGCAGGAAGCCCCCAGCCCCAGCCCTTTGGGACTGTTTTAACCTTGTCGACTTAGGCACTGGTTGCTGGTACAGCCACTCTTCCCTCTCTCAGCTCCTCCACAGGCTGGCTGTCGGACTGCGCTCCCAGCTGTGGCCCTGGGAGTGGGGGCTTCAGCCCTTTGTGCTGTGCCCAGGAGACTTCCCAAGCTGATGTGGTTTGTAGCTTCCTCCCTTCCCTCTCCAACATCTGCATGCAAAGACCACTAGGAGGCCACCACCCTCCTTCCTGCCCTCTGGCACCCTCCTCTGTTGTCTGTCCAAGAACCCCAGGCTCTCCAGAACCCCACTTACAACTAACCAAAGTGGCCCTCTCTGGGAGTTCCCACCACACAAATGTTTGTAAATTGGGCTGTTATTATAAGGTTAGGGTTCCAGGGCTGGGCCCTGGTGGGGTCCCCTGGAAGTCCCATTTGGACATTGCAATGGAGTAGGGAAGGACTCTGGAAGTCTCTCCCTCCTCCTCACCTTCTCCCCACCCCCAGATCCTGTCTGATTTCGACAATCTGCTGGGACAGAAGCTGGGTTTTCTGTCTGGGTCATGCTTCCCAATCCTGGGGATTGAAGAGGCCTGGGGCCATGGAATGCCCCCTTCTCTTCCCCCACCTTTGGTGGGGGTAGGGCCTGGTGGCACCTCTGCAATAATGTCTGTGTTTCTCTTCCACCTGCCACTGGAATTACAGAATGCACTTTATTCTGGGGGGTGAGTGGGAGAAGACCCAAGCCTCCTTTTTCACTGCTCCTGCTGCATGGTCCGGTCCTGCAATGCTCTCTCCCCTCTCCAGAGTTATAGGTACATACATGCGAACAGGCAATCTCAGCCCTACACACTCTCACTGTCCCCTATAGCTCAGAGGAAGAGTGATGGTGGTGGTGGTGAGTGCTGTGGGGAGGGCAGTGCCAACCTCCTCCTGAGGGTCCCGCTTTGACTGTAAGGATGAAGTTGGTGCTGCCCAGGGCATCTTCCAGATCTTCAGGTGTCTACTCCCCAGTTTTTCCTCTCTCCCAAACCAGGGGTGGCATAGGACACTAGCTCCCTGGAGTTCAGGACCTAACACAAGCACAAGCATGGACATAAGTTGGCCTTGGCCACTGCCACCCACCCCATGGCCCTTCTTTTGTGTATCAAGCTGGCATTTTCACTCTTCCACCCCTTCCCCAGCCACTTGCTACTCATTCAAACTCCTGTCCATGTCTCTCTAGCCCCGTCCCATCAGCCAAGGTGGCCCCTGGGCATGCCCTGGGCAGCACGCCCTGGGCACCATGGTGACAAACACACCTGGGGCGTGTCTGGCTTTCCTGGTGGGTGCAGGCTCATCCTACTTCTAATTTCTCCTTCCCCCAGGGCTCTTTTTGAGCGTTATTCCTGGGCACATACCTCTATACCTTCCCTCTCCCTGCCACAGATTCTCCCCATCACACAGAATGCCAGTTATATTTGTGGGATTTCACTCATTATTAATAAAACCTATATTTATACAGTATGCAGTGTGTAAATGTATGTGTGTCTGGCACCTGGTACCATGGGCTGTGAGGGGGTCTTCCAAGCACTTGGCAAGAAGCCTGTGAGCTTGGGCCGGCTGAGTGGCTCAGTTGGTTAAGAACTCACTCAAGAGTGCGAGCTCTGAGTAACAGGGTCGCCGGTTCGATTCATGGCCCGGGCTGAGTTGCTGCTGAGCTGTCAACAGGTGGCAGGAAGGCTCAGCTAAAAAACAAAACAAAACAAAAACATAATTCCAAAAAAAGAAAAAAGAAGCCTGTGAGCTTTAGGGAGCCTGTGGCAGGGGAGGGTAAGTCCTAGGTGTATGTCAAGCTCGTGAGTGTGTATCTTATGAAATATCTGTATTATGCCTTACATCTTACAAATGCTTCATGTTTATTATCTAAGGGGAGTGTCATGCCAGCCCTGCATTATCCCTCATGACAACCCATTTTGCAGATGAGAGAACTGAGACTTGGGTTAAGATACTTGTCCAAGCATCCTTAACTAATGGAGGTGAAAACAGGCCTGGGAACCAGGTCTTCTGCCTTCAGCCTTTTCATTCTTGACATCGGCCACTGACACTGTTCACGATGGATCTGCAAGCTGTGTGTGTGTGTGCTCTGTGTCTGTTGCATGGGTGTGCTCTTACCTGAGTGTTACATGACTTTCTCCTCAGAACTCACTGAGCCCTGGTTGTGACTATGGGGCGGGAGTGTGGGGTGTGGGGTGTGGGGTTAGTGGTCATGAAAGGCAATGAGAAGTAGGAAAAACCCTGCAACCTAAGTCCTAGGATGAGAGTGACAGGGACCTCACTTAGCTCGCTCCAGCTTTCCCCTTCTCTTCCTTTCTTCTTTCCTACCAGGGTCACGTTTACCAGGGCTGAGCCTTCGGCCATCAGGACTGTAGATGGGTCTGGTGGCCTGAGGTTTAGAGTAGGTAATTATTCAGAAGTCCTTGAGGGCTGGTGGCAGGATGACGCCAAAAGCAGCACACTGTTTCACCCTTTTCCCTTCTGATCCTGAACCTTGGGGACTGAAGGAAGGGACTGATGTCAACTTTGCCAGCTGCCTGGAACATTCTAGTTGTGCCACATGCAGAGCTAAGTGCCCTGGACTAGATTAGGGTCCAATCTATGACTGATTGGGTGCTCATCTGGAGATGGACTGACTTTGTTTCTAATGGGGGTTGGGAATAGGAGTGAGAAGTAGAAAGAAGTCCAGCTCCTGGAATTCTAGCTAGCTTTAGGGGGCATTCTGGGTGCCACCTTCTGCCTGCAGTGAAACCAGTACGTGGCTTCTTAAAGTCAGAGGGCACAAAATCACACCATTAGATAGTCTTTCTTAAGATTCTTCATCTTTACTCTTTCCCTTTTAAAATGCAAAGGCTATTCTGAAAGACTAAAAATTTATAAATTCACACATTTGTAAGTTCCCTTGGGAGCTAAGGAGATGAACAGCCAATCTGGAACTAGCAAGGGTCATTCAGGCACAGACAACATTTGTAGAGTGGCTCACACATTTTTGAAGAGAGCTTTTTTGATTCTTACAACAGCCCCATGAGGCTGCAGGATGAGTATTATCATTTCTTCCTTTTACAAAGAAGGAAACCAAAGCTTGGATAAACGACTTGAGCAAGCTCTTGAGTTATGGTGCTCTTGCCACTGTGAAGCACCTGTGATTTCTCCCACCAGTGCCAGCAACCTGCAGAGGTGGGGTATAAATGCCTCCTGCCCTTCCAAGCAGGTTTTGAAATGGACCCACTTGGCCTGAGTGCTGACCTTTCTGGACTCAGGTCATCTTTTCCAGCAGAACCACCTCTGTATCAGGGCCTGTGCAAGGTGTTGGAGGACAGAGTGACCAAGACTGTTCATGCAATGGCTCTACAGAACCTGGTGCCCCATCCTGAGGTCAAAAGACAGAGCACCTGCCCACAGCATGACTCACAGTACTTCAGTCTGCAAGAGGCTAGTCAAATTATATGTTATTAATAAAGCTTACATGACTGTCGTACCTGCTGGGGAGGGGGTGTGTGGGAGAGGGGAACAGCTTGCTCTGAGCTTTGTCCAGTAACAACAGCTGGTGCCCTGTCTGCCTTGCATGACTAGGTAAGTGGGGTGAAGCTTACCTAGGAGTCACCCCAAACCAAAGGTCACCCAAGACCACATTCATAGGGTTACTCTACTTTCCTCCTCCCACCCCTTTCTATTACCTTTTCAGAATGTCTCTTAAAATGCAAATTTGCCATTTTCCCTGCTGCCTGGAATGCCCTTCTCTTCCCCAACTTATTTCTTAAAATCCAGTTCAAATGTTACCTCCTCTGTCAGAGGCAGTTAGTAGCTTCCTCTCCCAGGTTTTTCTAAGCCCTCTGTCTGCCTCTGAAGTACATTCATTTGGGTCCCCTGGAGGGGAGCTGCTATAGTCGGGTCCCTGAATGCCTTGTTCTGTTTGCTCGGTACTACCCAATACCACGTGTTCAGTGAATGAACAAATGCATTAGGAAATATCAATACTGTCTTCACACTGGATGGAGGGTAGAGATCACACAGCCCTGAGGAACTCTATGCATTCCCTACTGCACACCTCCGTTCAGTGCACATGGCACACCTATGTTTGCATGTAGAGGCATGTCGTGGCAGTGGGTGTGGGTGGCTTCTCCATTGACTACATGGGCCCTGGGTGTGCGCTGCATGGAAGCAGAGGGATGAGGGTGGGAGCTTTGAGGACCAGGAAGCCCCAGGGCTAGGCCACGATTCCGTGTGAGACAAGTAGAGCAGGTTGGGGTGGGAGCTGTTTCTCCGCCCCCACTCTTCCTCCTTCCTTGACCAAAGTGACCAGAAGCAGTACCCAGAAGTCTGGGGTACGCAGAGAGCCAGGTACAGAAGGAAGGGCTCAAGAAGGCCATGACTCAGATCTCTCTCAGGAGGTAGGCTGAGGAGTTGAAGAAGCGAGCACAGAGAAGAGGATCCTACGGACGGGTGGATGTCTCAGAGGACCCAGGGTGAGGTAGGAAGACTCAGGTCCGGGATTCCTGTTCTGGCTCTTCCGTTTCCTAACTGGATCAACCTGCGAGAGTCATTTCACCTTTCCAAGCTGCAGTTCCTCCACCTGTAAAATGGACATAACGACAAGCCCTGCCTGGGAGGTGGTCAGGAAGGTAATTGGATGGGGCTGGCGTTTGGTAACCTGCAGAGGGCAGTCTTAGAGGCGGGGCCCGTCCGGATTGAAGGCTGTACGCACGGAGGGCGGGGGCAATGCAGGAGCGGATGGGGAAAGAAGTCCCCGCCCCAAGCCTGCTCTACCGGACACCCGGCCCCTCTCGCTGTTCCCCTTTTCCTAGGACCCCGAGCGCCTGGGCTCGTCCTCTCCGGTGCCCGCTGCCGGGATCGGATGCCAGGGCGGGCAGGCAAGGAGCACCGCGCTGGGGCCTTTGGGAACAAGCGGGAGACTCCGGTGGGCGACGGACTCTGGGGCTTGGTCAGCTGCGGGTAAAGGCCTAGCCAGCTGGGTCTCCCCTAGTTCGCTGCTGGACTGCTGCGCTGGGCCTGGCAGGGTGGGGACGGGGCAGGGCAGCTGGTGGCGAGTGGGGCGGTGCTGCGCAAGTGCTGCTGGGAGTTCGCAGCCCGGGATGAGTGGGACGTTGCTGGTGCGCTGAGTGATGGGCTTTCTGGCAGGCCCTCCCCTCGGGGTCTGAAACCTATCGGAGCTAGGAGAGCTGTTTGGGACCCATTTTGGGGGCAGGAACTTTGGACATGTGGGAGCACAGCCCCTGTACTTTTCCTGCTGTGTGTCTTCCTTTTCTCACTGCCCTGGAGACCTGGGGTGATCTTGGGAGAATTGTCTTCACCACCACTCCACCGCCTTCGCGAGTCCCATATTGAGCCAGTGGCTCTGGATCTGATTTTATCGCACTGAGTGAATTCCCCCAAACTTTCTCAGCTTTGCAGGGCCCGCTCTTAATCCTTCTCCAGTCCCTGGGACTCCTGCTCTGAGTCCCAGCCGACCCCGTCCACTGGTTAGCCCTATGGGCAGGTGGGCCCAGCTTAGCCAGTTCTCCCTAAGTGTGCCCTGCCCCTAAGGACCCAAATATCTACAGACCATGTGCCAAATAGCAGCAGCCTCCATTTAAGGGAGCTCAGAGGGATCAGAAAAGACTTCCTAGGAAAGAGGACCTTTGAGTTGGTCTTAAAAGATTGGGTAGGATTCTGACAGAGGAGAATGGTCATTCCAATCTGAAGAAAGCATATGAACAAAGTTAGGAAAGCACAAGCAAGAATTCAGTGAGTCTGGCGAATGAGATGTGGGTCAGGACAAACTCAGAAAAATAGCTTGTGTGGGCCAGGTGTTTGGACTCTGCTACATGTAACCTAGGATTTTAGGGAGGTGATTGGTGGCAGGGATGAAGGATTGGAATGGGATGAGACTGAAGACAAAGGCCGATAAGGAGAAGGAGATCTCTGGAAGTCTGCAGAGGGTCTGAGTTAGCACAGGGACAGTAGGGACGATGCAGTAGGACCAGGCTGGCAAAGCACTAGGAGGAGGAATCAGGAGGACTGTTTCAACTGTGAAGGATGGAGGAAGGGTTGAAGACAAAGAGGTCAGATTTCTAAATGTGTGATTTGGAAGATTTGCAGTGAAGTACCTAAGAGGAGAGGGGAATGATGAGTTCAGTTTTGCGTGTGTGAAGCTTGAAGCATGGGCAGGATATCCATATGGAGATGTCAAGTAGGAAGTTCATCCATTTACTATTTATGCCAGCCTCAGAGGCAGCTTACATAGAAGTTACAGAGAGGATAAAATTATAAAAACTGTTAAAACTCAGCTAAAAGGAACTGATAGCTAGGGGAAAATATGCAGAGTGGAGTGGATAATTGTTACTGGAAAATATTGGCTCAGAAAAGCCACTGAAAATGAACACAGGACTCATCTGAGCTTGCTGGCAGCCAAGGGGTGGGGAGGAGCGGGGAAGGACAAATAAAGCAGTTCACTAGGTTGGAACTCAGGAGAAAGGCCTTCTTAAAGCCACAGGGGAGAGGCAATAGGTGGTAGGACATAAAATGGGATCACTCAGGTGGGGGATATGGGAGAGGGAGGAGACCTGAAAGCCAGGCCAGGACTTTGGCACTGTTGACATTTAAGGAAAGCCTGATGCTCTCTTGAAGAGGAAGACCCTTCCTTGGCCTGCCTGGGGAAGTGAGGGTGGGAAGGTAGGGATGTGTGGTCCATTCACACCAATTTTCTTGCAGGGGAATAGGATAGATGGTAGTGTGCCCTGGGCTCTGACCGTCTCTCTTACCATGAGGTGGAGCCACCCTTTGCCCAGGACCTTATGGGGCCTGGGTCTGGGAAGAGCATTCCAGCCAGCAGGTAAGCAGGAAGCAGGGGTGTCTGTTTCTCCCTCTCCCTTTCTCTTTAGAGCCCAGATGGTGCCTGCAAGAGGGCAGGGATTTAGACACCAGGTATGCTAGTCTTGGCTTTGTGATTCACTAGTTGTTGGCCTTGGGCAAGTCACCTCACCTCCCTGCGCTTCCTTTTTCCCATCTTAAAATAAGGGAGTCAGACTAGATGATTTCCGAGAGTCCTTGTAGCTATGTAAGTCCAGGAATACTTGTCAGATTTCATTTTGCATTCAACAAATATTTTTTGAGGGCATGCTACGTGCCAGACCTGTGCTAAGTTGTAAGTATATAATTGTGAACAAAAACAGATGTGATCCTGTTCTCATGATGGGGAGGAATAGAAATGAATATTAATCAGATAACCACACAATAAAGTATAAAATTGCATAATAACTGCTGCAAAGGGGTGATACATGATGTTATGAGAGCAAATAATGGGGGATTTGATGTAAACATGGGGTCTATGTATTGGGGGAGGGGAAATCTGGGTGGGATCTGGATGCTATTTTATCCTCTCCTTTCTCTCTGTAGATGAACATATCCCCTTCCTGATCCACTGGATTTGTGCACTTAAAGGGGAGTGTCCCCTTGGGCCCCATAGGTGAGGCCTTGGTGTCATACCTTAGAACACATCTAAGCACAGCAGAGTAGCCTAGGAAGAGTCAGGACTTGGAGAGAGCTTAATCTCCAGGGGGGAGGTTGGTCTTCTAGAGGTGGGAGGGTACAGAGTCAGCTACCAGGCTTAAGAGGAAGTTGGTTTACATCATCTACAGTACAAGTCACTGTGGTTAGCCAGTGGGAGGATCTTTGTAAAGTGGGTGGAGTCTGGCGGTGATCAGTCTGAGTTCCAGACAGGCATTAGTGGGGGACTGGCAGGATAGAGGGGAGACCTCGGTCCCTGGGAAGGGTGTGAGAGTCAGAGTCTTGACTTGGGTGTCCAGGGTTGGACCTGAATCTCAGGAAGCCAGAAGTCCATCAATCCAGACAGGCCTGGACTCTGAGCCCGTTCAGAGGCTGAGCCCAGGAGCCAAGCCCCAGCGCTTCTCTTCCTTGCTCCCAGAGCCCTTATACGCCACCATGGAAGCTCAGTGGGCAGCCGGCCCCCATCAGGGAGGCATGAGCAGTTGTTCCGGAGCACCCCTGCCGCTGGTAAAGAGATTGGTTTCTCAGTCAGCCTGAGAAGAGGGGCTGGCTGGGATCCCAGTGGGGGTTGGGGGTGGGGGTGGGGAGAGGGGCCTGGAGGGATAAGCAGGCAGGAAGAGGGAGGCATAGAGGACTCACCGCCATCATCTATCAGTGG